CACACTGGGACTTGCTCAAAAGCCAAGACCGCACTGCAGCCCTTCAGTATCTTGACCAGCTTGACCCCGATGTGATGATCATCGCTTGGCCTTGCACGGTATGGAGTCCGCTTCAAGTGTTTGGCAACAAGTCACCGTGGCAAAGAGAACGACTTGAAGAGAGGAGAGAAGAGCAGAGGGAATTGCTGGGCTTCGTTCGTGATGCCAGCCATGGCCAAAGAAGAAGGGGTGGTCTGCTGCTGGGAGAGAATCCCAAGCCTTCTCTTGCGTGGCAAGAGCCTCTCATAGTGGAAGCCTTTGATGGAATGGGTTCGATCACCACGGACATGTGCCAGTACAGCCTCCGCATCCCAGAAGGAGGTCCATTTTTGAGGAAGAGGACTCGTTTGGAGGGCACTCCGGAGCTGTTGCAGCCCTTGGCAAAACTATGTCCTGGAACCCATGAACACACCCCCGTCTTGGGTGGCATGAGACATCAAGGCAAATGGATGAATGTTTCGGATTTTGCTGGAGGCTACACCAGTCGATTTGCTCAAGCTGTGGTGAAGCAAGCAGAGAAAGTCTTGGAAGAAAAGGGAAGAAGGCCAGAAGCCCTCCTGACACTCCCTGCGTTTCCAGAGGAAGATCTAGACGAAGAAGCAGAGAGGACAGAGGTGAAAGGCTTCAAGGAAGACCAACCACAAAGCTGGCGAATCCAACAGCTCCACAACAGGTTGGGACATCCAACCAACTCCACACTCAGCAAAATGCTTTCTTTGGCAGGCGCCTCCAAGGAGATTGTGAACAGAGCTCAAGAATTTCAATGCCCAACGTGCCAGGAGACACAACCTCCTGGACGTTACTTGAAGGCCAGTGCTGAGATGCGCACCACTATCTTTGGCAAAGAACTGCACTGTGACCTAAAGTACTTGCCCGACCACAAGAATGCATTGTATGTGGCCTTATCGATGGTAGACAGTGCCACTTCCTTTCATCAGGCAGTCCTCCTGAGAAATCGCTCAGCAGAGCATGTGGCCCGCAAGTGTTTGAGACACTGGTTCGCTCTGTTCGGAACTCCACAAACCATCGTACTGGACCAAGGAGGAGAATTCGATGGCTACTTCACTGGCTTCCTAGAGCAGCATGGAGTGCACAGCAAGGTGAGTGGAAGCAAGTCAGCATGGCAACACGGGTTTGCAGAACGTCACGGGGCTTTGCTGGGAACAATGTTCACATCCCTGGCCTGGCAGTATAAGGTTGAGGGAAGAAGCCAAGTGAAGGATGCTTTGTGCGCTGCCGTGCAAGCAAAGAACTCAACTCTCACGAAAGGTGGGTACACACCTTTCCAACTTGCCTTTGGACGACAGCCCATGTTTCCAGACCTCCTTGAAGAAGACGTTGAAGGAAACATGTCCCTTCGAGAAGCCCTTTCACTAGAAGGAGAAGTTCAGAGGGCATCAGAGATGAGAGCTGCCGCCCGTGCCACTCTCCTAAGGCATGATGTTCAGTCCAAGCTGCGAAGGGCATTGAGGAGGTGGCCGAAAGGTGAGGAAAGAGAGTTTGAGCCAGGAGAACTTGTGTACTTCTACGCCCCAAAGCCTTTGAGCACACGTTTCAAGAAGGAACCCGGGTTCTGGCGTGGACCAGCAATGGTACTGGCCAAGGAGTCGCACCAGAAGTTCTTCATCAGTTGGCGAGGCCGATGCCTTTTGGTCTCTGCAGCCAATTTGAGATCAGCCTCACGACTGGAAGGAAAAGACCATGACAAGAGGCTGCAAGAAGGAGAGAGGCTGGAGGAAAGCTGGAAGAAAGGAGAGAAGCAATTTGAAGACATGAGTACAGTTCCAGAACCAGTAGAAGAAGAGAAGACGGAAGCTCTGGGCTGGGAAGCACACGATGGAGTGGTTTCAAGGAAGCCAGGAGGAAGACCTAAGAGCCAAGCAAAGGAGATCGCCAAGACTCTGAGGGGAATGAAGACAATCAAGACGATCCAGAAGCACAGAAGGAAGAAAGAAGATCGCCTCGACCTCCGGAGTGGGACGACGAAGCCAATTGAACGACTGCCTCAAGAAGAAGCAAAGTCCAACGATCTCAAAGATCCCCAGGAAGAAAAGAAGAACGAAGAGGCTCGGGACCAGAAGATGCGGCAAATCCAAGAAGAGATGTATAAGTGGTTGGGCAAACCACAGGAAGACGGCTATCAAGACCGTCTGAGACAACATCTGATTGATGATGTGCCCATGCAGTTCAAAAGAAAGCATCAAGAGGAGCCAGCTGGACAGTTGTCTGAGGAACAGCTGGTGAAGAGGTTCAGGCCCTCCTTCTTCGCTTACACGATGCTGGCCTCCATTAATCGAGATGGCAAGAAGCGGGCGAATCAGTGGGCATCCAAAGAAGAAGTTGAGAAGCTGAAGATTTTGCTTGACCTGCCCATCACCAATGCCCGTTTCCATTTCGGAGCTCGCAAGCGACTTCAAGATCCCAAAGGACACAAAGGCCAAGCACGTTACACAGTGATGCTCGGAGAACAGACAGGCTCAGCTCTGGTGACACAAGAGACGACTGAAGAATGTCAACAAAGACCCAAAAGAAAGGCTCCCTTCCTGTGGAAAGGAATGACACTCTTTGTGCACCAGGGCCAAAAGAAAGCAGAGGAGTACCAGACCACCTACGTGGAGCTCCCAAGTGGCCTATATGAAGCCAGGGTGAGTGACCTCCTAGAATGGAAGAAGGTGGTCAAGGAGGAGGAAAATCAACAGGCATTCTTTGAAGCTTTTCTCCTCCAGATGAAAGCTAGCGGGAAGGAACTCGACCCAAGATTCTTCAGCACAGAAGAACGGAAAGCCTTCGACGTCGCTGACAAGAAAGAGTGGGAATCTTGGGTGAAGAATCGAGTCATCAGAAGGCTCACTCCTGAAGAGGCCCGAAGAGTGGATCCGAAGAACATCTTCAAGGCACCAGCAAGGATTGTTCGGGTCAACAAAGGGGCTATGCAGGGCATCTTCCAACCAAAGTCCAGGATGGTGATCCCTGGCCATTTGGACCCACACCTTGGCCAGTATCGGTCAGATGCACCGACGGTGATGTGGATCAGTGTCCAGCTCGCCAAGGCAGTTTGCGCCATGAAGAAGTGGAGAGCCCTGACCTTTGATGTCACGACGGCATTTCTCAGTGGCAAGGAGGTCGACAGAGAGGTGATGGTCAGGGCACCGCCGGAAGGCTTGCCAGCAATTCCTGAGATGAAAGAACCAGCAGTCAAACCAGGAGAGTTGCTGAGAGTGGTGAAGAGCGCTTATGGCTTGTCAGAGGCACCCAGGCTATGGTACTTGCGGGCCAAAGAACTGCTCGAGGAAGCAGGTTTTGAAGAACTCCAAATGGCAAAGGCCACCTTCCTGAAGAGATCCAAGAAGAACCAGGAGGTGGAAGCAATCCTTTGCCTACATGTGGACGACGGTCTCTTGGTGGCAGACCGCAAGCTTGCTCCAGCCATCCAGCAGTCCATCGACAAAAGGTTCGCAATAAAAGAATGGAAAGATCTGGAAAAGGAGCCAGAGACCTTCCTAGGAGTGAACACAAGTTATGCTGATGGAGCCTTCACCGATGACATGACAGAATACATCGACAAAATCAGCTTCGCTCCTGAAGAGACACCTTCAGAAGAACCACTGGTGGGAAAGCAACTGTCGGCATTCAGGCGCCTCATCATGCAGTTGCGTTGGCCCTCACACCATGTGCTTCCAGAATTCCTCTACAGAGTGAGTGAGTTGGCTCAACGAGTAAGTCATGCAAAAGGAGGCGACCTAAAGTATGGCAACAAAGTTCTCAAGTCCACGAAGGAAAGTGCAGCCCAAGGCAAGGCCACCATGAAGATCCCCGCCATCTCAGGGGAACCGCTGCTGATCGGTTTCTTCGATGCCTCCCTTGGAACATCCAAGAGCACCCATGCCCAACAAGGAGAAATTCACCTCCTTACCAGCACCACGGCATTTCGCCAACCAACCCCCATGTGCATCCTCGAATTCCACTCAAACCGCATCAAGCGTGTGGTTCGAAGTTCGCTTGCGGCTGAGGGATGCGCCATGAGCAGTTGTGGAGACAGGCAGCTGCTCAGCCGGGTTTTGCTGGATGCCTTCCTATATGGGAAGGTAGAGGTGACTTCTCAGTGGCGCCGGGAGCTCAAGACTTCCGGCTGTTTGGTGACCGATGCAAAAGGATTGCACGATCATCTCCATAAGACCGGAGGGGTGGCAACTGAACGGCAAGCAGCATTAGATATGCTGTTGATGAAACAGCTCATCGAGGATGGCATCATCGGCTTGAAGTGGACGCCAACATGGCGCCAGTTGGCCGACCCTCTCACGAAAGAGATGATGGCCACACTCCTCGAAGACCTGAAGAAGTCAGGTCAGGTCTGTCTGACCCAGACGGCAGCAGACGCCAAAGAAGAAGAGCGACGTGCTGGGATTCGAAGGGGCCAACGAGAACGTCGCAAAGAACGAATGAAGAGCACAAAAGAAAAGACAAGAGCCGACAGCAACACTTTTTCCCTTTGATGTGAAGAGCATGTGGAACGCTTGCTGTCGGAAGTTGTGCAGTTCGCCGCCTTTGACTTTTTCACTACCTCAAGGTATCCGGATGACCGCATTCGCGACAGGCAAAAGTGCCTCACTGCCTGCTTTTTGCTTTTGCTGGGCCGACTTGGTTTTTCCTTTTTCGGTTGCGGAAAGACTCTTGTTCTTAGTGGGACTGGCCCCCCCAATCACCCACAAGAAGGAGATGCCTCCAAGAGGGTTGAGGATCTAGGAAAACTACGGGATTATGGGAAACTTTCCTGCCATCGCCAGCCAGCCACATCATGTTGGAGGGGTTGGTGAAACTGCAGTTGAATCACTGAAGCACAGCGGAAACCCTGGAATAAACTCCAAAGAGCGGGTCACTTTGCTTCTGCAGCGGGTCACCTCTGCAGTTCCTGGTGCACCCCCTTCCTTCACCAGGCACGCGCCACTGCAGCCACTGCCACTTTTTTCCGTCACACGATCTTCAGCTCGTCCTCCGGCAGCGGCCTCACCGGCACCGGCCTCGCGTAGAGCGCCACGCCGGCGCCCACCAGGGTGGCCGAGGTGAGCCCCGAGAGGCCCAAGGGGGCGCCAAAGAGGAGGAAGCCCAGGAGCATGGTGAACACCACCTGCGCCAGTCGGTGCGATCCCGAACCAAGGCGACGCGACGATCCCGAACAACCTGCGGGGTAGGGCGTCCTTCTTCCGCCGTGGAGGGGGTGGAGGGGCGTCTTCCAGAACGTCAAGTTTGGATCAACCCAAGGGCGTGGTTTTGATCTTTAGAACTCGAGATCTTCGGAGGTCTGGAACGTCTTCGCATGGATGGTAGGGTTGCTCTCTCGTTAGGCTGGCTGGTGTGACCAACAGGGCTGCTGAACCCTCGTTTTCGGCCATTTCCAGTAATCGTCCGTTGACCATAGGGCCCGGCACCTGTGTAATCTCGACGTGTGTCTACAATAGGCAATGGAAGTCATAGGATCCTGTCGGCCCCATGGGGTTCCACCCCTCCGCCCTCGTCAAGACCCGAAAATCCTTGAACACCTGACTCCTACGCTCGTATCAGGGCCCAAACATGTCCAAACCATAGCTGCCATCGGTTCCTTTCTAAATGATTGCCGCCCGGTTCCCCGATTACCAGCCCCCCCTCGTCTGCTTTCCACCGGTCGTCCGGTCGTTCGTGGTCCTCCGCGCCTCCAGCGCCGAAGCCACCGCTTTCAGGACGGAATCTAAATGTTTCAAGAAGAACCCGGTGACCAGGCCAACGGACGACATGATGCTAATGATGGCAAACACCTGGCCCGCAGGTGTCGCTGGACTCGACTCAGTCCAACAGATTTGGTACGTCGAGAGACGTGGTCCAAGGCACCTGCCCTATCCCGCACGGAGATGGATCCGATCTCTTCGGATTGAAGCAGGTGATGGCAGGTGCACTGGCGCTGTATACATGCGCACCGCATAAGTGCAGTCTTAGCTACACGTGCACCAACAAAAGTAAGCACTAAAGTAAAGCAATGTATGAAAACCGAAATGACTGATGCAATGGCAGGATTGCCTCATCCACCACCCAACTTGGCTTGAGAGCAACCGAACGCCACACCTCCTTTGAAGACATATTGACATATTCAGCCACAGCTGCTGAGCGAAACCAAGTGTGTCGTTGTCCATGTTCGCAACACACATACACACACACCAAAAATTGGCACTAAAACATGGTGGAAAATATCCAAGTGCTCCATTATGATCCATCATGATCCATCAATCCATCTCCGCTCTCATCTCCACCCGGCTTCGAAGGCGACTGACCCGGCTTCGAAGGTCCGATTTCGGGTCCCACCTTGAAGGAGGCGATGGCTGCCCGATTCTCTGCGGAAACGGCATCTCCGGCCTACGGAAACAGCGACGAAGGCACGAAGTCCTGGCCTGATGTAAGTCTCAACCGATGGGCCATCTGGGTCCCATGGGTCTGGAATCTGCTTTTGGGCACGAGAGTTGCCATATGGAGCTGTTCCGTCTCAACTGGCTGGTCGGATTCATCCAGGATTTCCGTGACACGGTTGGGGGACTGGGCACGGCCGCGCACGGCCGCGCACGGCCGCGCACCCGTTAGGAAAAGAAGGACAAACAGCACAAACTCTGGAGAAGTGATTCCAGGCAAGGATGGTTCGTCCTGCTCTACTTTGTGGCAAGGGTTCACACACCTCGATACCGGGGCGGAACATAACAAGTTTGAAGCATACCGATGAGACTGTGCTTGAAGTTGCAACACACACAGGATCGATGCCCAACTCGCTGCAGCCTTTCCCTCCCAAATCAAGATCACGCCATTGACCAGGATCGACTGGCAGTACATAAAGGCATTCCTGAGTCATTCGACCCAGCAACAACAGTGAGGCTAAAAATCCCCCGAAATCCATCCAAATCCCGGCGGGGGGGGGCGCTGGTATTTTGCTTGGACTTTCTTGAGTGGCAGCTGGTTTGAACACCCACTCTGCTGAGTCCCTGCCACGGTGCTGAAGGTTCGTGGTCACCCCGCGCTTGGCAGATTCAGCACCTTTCAGCAGAACCTCGCCCCAGGGCAGTCGACCAACAAACGGTCAAACGCGCGGTGGGAAAGGGATGTTGAAACCCGGAACTGCACATTTTCGTCGGGCGCCGTGAAAGACCAGCTGAGGGGCCTCGTTGTACACCCCAGCGAGCACCGAGCAAAGCATTTGCACCAAAAGCAGCAACCACGAGCTCAAGTTCGCCTCCAAAGCTGGGTCTGGATAGGTGTTCCACCGTGGATTTCTTGAAGCAAGTGAAGGGAAAACAGTAGCACCAGCACTTCATGTTCCTCAAACTTGCTCCTCAATTCTAACACACTCATGGATATGCGTACTGATGTGAATGCGGTGCCACACGCCGGCCTAGGGTTCCAATTCCTAAGGGTACAGGTAAAGAAACCCAAAAGGAAGTGGAGGTCCATCGAGTTCAGCGAGGCCATCAATGCTAGAGGAACCACCGGACGATCGATCGACAGAATGACGTCGTACGCTCACATCTGCAGTGCAAGAAAACATCAAAGTTTCAACTCTGCGAGGTTCTTGGCTTAGCCTCACGCCATGCAGAAAATAGGAAAATTCGCAGGTACGCAGTTGGACGTCTCCAACTGTATCACAGGTGACTCATGAGTGTCTTTGTTAGCACCGGTCTCATCAGCACCCCCGGTGCCCCCTGCACTAGAAAACCAAAAGCGTAGGAAAAAGGCCACATCAAATCCAAACAGGATCCCTATGACTCCAAGGGTTACACACACACGCCTCCCCGAAGGGAGGAGAGATTTTAAGCTCCGCGCCGAAGGGGAGGTGAGACTAAGTGAACTGACGGATCTCACGGTAGGTCTGATAGGCAGTCAATGGGAGTCGGAGTTGACCAATGGCATCGTCATGAGGGCGGGGAGCGACTGTATGGTCGAAGATTTGTAGTACCCAATGTCCTCGTGATCCCATGGAAGAGTCTTGTGGTGGAACCAAGCGCGATAGAACCAATAGCGTTCATTTTGGTTTCGGCGACAGGCCCATTCCTCGTATGGTTCAGCGACAGGCCAATCTCCGCGAGTTGAATTGTGGACTTGACGAGCGTAGTCAGTGAAATCCTCGTTGTATTGATTCTCGGATCGAGGGAGGCTCGACAAGAGTGCCGGGTCCAAGTGTTCCTGATGAGAAAGAGTGTCATCGGGAGGAGCTTGTGTCGGAGAGGAGTCTCCTGAAGGGACACGAACATCTTCTGGTTGAAGTTCCATCTTGCCTATAGAGTCAAAGAAAGGAGCGCACCAAAGTGGAACCGAAAAGCTGCGGGAGAATCGAAAATGTAGAAAAAGAAGAAAAGGAGAAAAGTGGTGGTTGAGGTGAAATGTAAAGTGAGTCATCAAGTAGAGAGGGTCAAAAGGTTGTTTTCCAGGAAGCAGCGAGTCGAGGAAATTGGTGTGAGTGAATTAAGGTGCAGCCTCAGGTAAACGAAACGGAAGTGTTGGCCGGGGAATCAGAAAAGGTATCTCCTCACCGTTGAGCTTGACAAGTATAGGCCTACCAAAGGTCGGTCGGTATTCAGAGTATTCAGAGTAGCATCGCTCGTTCGAAAGGGGATCGCTGGAGATGTACTCGCACTCGATGAATGTAAAGAAGTGGAGGTAGTCCGCAGCGAGGTAGGCGGTGTTGTCGGACGGGCTTTCTTGGGGAAAGTGGTGGAGATGAGGATAGGTTCGTCAGAGTCCCTCAAGTAGGAGGCCATGGATGGGCGAGAGCGTTTGGTAACTGTCGTAGGTGGTGTGGACATATGGCGCTTGAGAATTGCGCGTAGAAGCGGTGAGACTAAACTTGGGCCGAAAGGCTGAGGTGTGACAGAAAATCAAAATGAAGAATGGGACCAAGACTCAAGAGAGCTCAAGAAAAGGAAAGGAACCCGCAACGGTCATTTTCGGCCATACGAAAATGGGTGGGGCAGAAATCGTAGATGAAGATCATGATGTAGCCAGCCGTTGTAGTTCGAGAAGTTCAGCCCAACGAGCGCGGATCTGGGACTCTGGGCGCTGCATTTTTGTGGCGATGTAGCGCCAGCTGGGTCGAAGTCGTTCATTGCATTTGAGGCTGAGAAGGAGATCATCATCTTTGGTGCTCCAATCATCATCCCAAGAAGTGTCTGAGTGGTGACGAGGGGATGGAGATAGAGAGGGAGAGGGAGAAGGTGAGGGGGCCGTGTGGGGCAGAGGAAACGAGGGAGCAGGATGGTGAGGGGGAAGGGGGAGGAGGAGCCAAAGAGGAGGGTGGTGGATAAGCGAAGTCAGGAGGAGAAAGAATGGGTGAAGGAGGAAAAGAGAGTGGAGGAGGGGAAGAGGGAGCGGCCCCAGAGGCATCAGGAAGAGATGGGGAGGGACGGGAGACGAAGGAGGGGTAAAAGGAGAAGGGAGGGGACCGAAGGTGGGAAAGGAAGGGTGGGCCAGGGGAGTACGCTTCCCAGCTGATGACGTCAATGTCGGCGATGGAGTCTTCTGACGGGTAAGTGGGAGTGCCGGTTGTTCACAAGGTGCCCAGCTGATCGAAGGTTTCGTAGTGTTTCGAAATGGCGGTGAAGCCGGGCTAGCCGGTGGTCTGGAAGGGCAAGAGCCGGGAGTCATCTCGACAGGAGAGGTGGCATCCGGATTCTGAATCATATCCACCAGTAAACGAAGTGCGACGATGTTGAGTTGCGTGCGTCGCGATCGTAGAGACAAGGTCTGAGGTGGTCGACTGTGACATAGTCCAGGTAGAAGATCAAGGTGAGGGTAGGGAGCACACGTTTGAGCCGAGAAGCTGAAAGAAAAGCAGAAACGAAGAAGAATAGAAAATGGAAAGGAACAGCATGAGATGTGACGGAGAAAGCCATGAGAGTCTGAATGTGAGAAAATAATGTTGGCGCGAGGAGTATTTTCCAAGCGAAGATTGGTCTCAAGTGCTGCATCAAGAGAAACTGAGAAACCGAAGTTGGGCGTGAAGGTCTCGTCGTGGTAGATGAAAGCGATGGCAAAGTTGATGAAGAAGGGGTAGGAGTTGAACCATCGTAAAGTCTTTGTCGAGGTATTGTTGAGTCAAGTCCGCGAGTTGAGGAAGGATCAAATTCCGAGGACGAGTCAGTCGGCAAATCAAGATGCCACGTGTGAAGAAGCCAGCAAGAGCCATTTCCGGAGAACCGGCAGTACGATTGCTTCGGATCAATGTAAGGTGAGGTGGTTGTCGAAAGGTAATAGTACGCTGAGAGGTGGAAAGAGCAAAGCCAAGTAGTGTCTCATCGGCGACATACTCCATCTCAAGTGGTCTGCCGTAGAAGAAGGGTTGAGCGATGGCCTGGAAGGAGTCAGTACGGAGCATGTGGGAAGGTCCAAGGAAGAAGACATTGTCGACGTAACGTGCCCGTAGTGCCAGTCCCGTGGCATAACGCCAGGAAGAGCTCGGGAAAGAGCGTAGAAAGCAGTATTCCCGGAAAAGTGCAACAGCGCTGCATAAGGCAGGTGCCAAAGGTGAACCCATGGAGGCTCCTTGACATTGTCTGAAGACTGTCAGTCCTACGGTGAAGTAAGAGGATTCAAGTAGGTGAGACACCAAGTCTGGTAAGTCACGAAGGTGAATAGGATGGTAGGACCGTGAGGTCTTCCGCCAGCGGCCACGAAAGATCCGTTGAAGACGTTCTTCTTGCTGGTGGTTAGCTTTGTGCTTTTGTGCCCCTGCTCTTTCTGCAGGCTTGGAGGCCCCCAACCATGATAACTATATCAAAGACCCAAAGGTTAATAAGCACAAGACTGGCATTCAAAGAGGTTGCTAAGCCTAAGGGAGGGGGGCAGGTCGGCAAAAAAAAATCTACTGGGAAAAATGGCTCAAGATCTTGAACATCAAGGAACCCTAAAAGTTCTTTTGTCTTTAAAAACTATAAATTCTGCTGGAAAATAATGGCTCAAGATCTGTATGGTTAAGGAACATTAAAGGTTTTTTGTGTGAGAATATTTTGCAAAATGCTGAGTGTCCATTCAAACCGTAGATATTTGAACAAGGAATGGTTTGATTTCAGATTAGCAGCGCGCAATCAGACGAAACTGTGGGTTCAATATTTTTTATTGAGCAAATGCCAATGTGAGAGTGTATCGTGCGAGGTACACTTTTCAAGAGATGTTCGCATTCCATCTTGTTTTTGAAAAGCTTCACTGTGAGAGTGAGAGTAATGAATACAGTTTTTAAGTGTGCAGGTTTTGGCACAGTGTACTTGTCGTTTTGAGTTTTATGCTTTTTGCATGCAAGAGTCTATAATGTGTAGCCGTTTTAAAGACATCAGGTTTGGCAGAGTGCATTTGTCGCTTTCCTTGTTACGGTTTTGGGTTTGGATGGGTTGGGAAGACACTGTGAGAGTGCGGCACTGGCAGAGTGCACGACACTGTGAGAGTGTGCTGCTGTGAGAGCACCATGGAGTTTTTGAACAAGAAGAAAAAGGTGGGAAAACCATCTGACATGTGGCCTGAATGGCATCCACTGAGGCATGGATGGAAACAAGAACCTGCTGCTTAAATTGAGCCTGGTCGCGCCGGGATGGCGCTACCAGACCAGATGCCGAGATGGCATCTGCTCAGTCACCAATGCTGGTGCATCTCAATTCTGTCTGCGCGTCTGCAAAAAAATCAATGTGTTCTTTTGAAACCAAGCTTTCATCCACCATCCATCCATCCACCATGAAACCCCCCATCCACCCATGACGGTGAGATCATGGCACCATCACGGTGCCCAAACCCACTCTCACTGAGGTCTCGCTGATGTACTCCTGATTCTCAAGAAGCCGCCTCCTTGGCAAAATTGCGGCGGTCATGAGCTGAAGCTACACTCCTTGTTGATTGTATTGGGCTAGGAAAGATATTGTTGTATTGCGCTAGGAATCATGGCACCATCACGGTGCCCGGTGTTGCTTGAGACAACCAAACAAACACGAGCGCGCCGAGGCTTTCGCTGTTCTCTGACGAACTGATGGACGTCTTAGTCGGTGCCCTCAGAGCATCCGCATAGTCAATCTTAAGACGTGAGACGCATGAGGTATGCGTTTACTTGCCACGGCGCTCAAATTCAGTGAGATGGGCTCAATTTCAGTGAGACGGACAAAACACATAAACATATTATTTTCAGTGAGACGTACAAAACACACAAACATATTATATAATTGACAAACCGCCCTAGTCTAGCAGACCTTGACAGTTGACAG